TCATTGACATCAAACGAGCTTACTTTTACGCTCCAGCAAAGAAAGACATATTTATCAGATTACCAGACGAGGACTATGAACCAGGTATGTGCGGAAAGCTGTTAAAATCAATGTACGGAACCAGAGACGCTGCGAGCAACTGGGAGGACTGTTACATGGACTTTGCTAGCGAGGCTGGGTTCAAGAGCGGAATTGCATCACCATGTGTGTTCAAGCATGAGAGTCGAGCTTTATGGTTAACAGTTCATGGAGATGATTTCACGCTGTTAGGGGGTGATCATGATCTCGACTGGTTTGAAAATATAATTAAGGAGGAGTTTGAAGTGAAAGTGAGAGGACGACTTGGACCTGGGAAGGAGAACATGAAAGCGATCAGAATTCTTAACAGGATTGTGGAATGGACGAAGGAAGGATTGAGGTACGAGGCAGATCAAAGGCATGCAGAGATAATTGTAAAAGAGCTTGAGCTAGAAGGAGTAAAGGTGAGGACTGAAGTGCCAGGTGAGCGAATTCCAGTTGAAGAGGGAGATGAGGAAGAACTTTCGCCCAACATGACTAAAAGATATCAAGCGTTGACGGCCAGAGCAAATTCCTTAGCTCAGGACAGGTCTGACATACAGTATTCGGTAAAGGAACTCGCTAGGACCATGTCAAAGCCCACGATGAGTTCTTGGGAGGGTTTTGTCAAGTTAGGAAAGTATTTGAAGTACCACAGCAGAAGCAGCTATGTGTATCAATATCAGGAGCAGCCCCAAGAATTAACTATTTGGACTGACACGGATTACGCAGGATGTAAGCGAACGAGGAAGTCCACGAGTGGAGGGGTAGTGATGTGGGGTAAACATCTCATAAAATCTTGGAGCACGACTCAGAGTGTCATCGCATTATCGTCAGGTGAGGCAGAATATTATGGACTGGTGAAAGGAGGATCAGTGGGTTTAGGACTTCAGGCAGTATTGAGAGACTTTAACTTGGAAGTTGAGATTACAGTGAAGAGCGACGCCACGGCTGCGATTGCCATTGCGAGCAGACGAGGCTTGGGGAAAGTAAGACAGATCGAGGTGTGTCAATTGTGGTTACAGCAGAAAGTTAAGGAGGGAGTGATTCGTATTGTGAAAGTAGGGACACACGAGAATGCAGCAGATGCGTTGACCAAGTATGTCAGTCGTGAAAGCATGAGCACGCATCTACGAAACACGAATCAATGTGCATTAACAGGTAGGCATGAGCTTGCGCCAGCTACCGAATGTTGATGCACCGAATGTTGATGTTCGCAGCTCATTTCTATCAAGCAAACTGCAGCTATTAAAGGCCTTCTCCACCCATTACCTCTCACTCTTGGACGTGAACGAAGGCATGGCGGCTCCCCAGGTCAACCTCACCATTAACGGCTCCATGGTCGACCAGAGCCCGGCTGGGGATGGACCGGTTACGCGTGAGAACCTCAACCGCCGTGTTGACGACATGGTGCACGTTGCTCACGCGTTTACCGTAACCCTCACTAACATGGCGATCAACTTCCACGGAGCCTACGACAAACACGTTGACGAGGTGCAAAGGGCCGCGGATGACATGGCGAAGAGGATCGAGGAATTAACGCGGCAGAACGAGGCGCTGATCCAGGACAGTGACGACGTCAACGAGAATCTTCAAAGAGCGCAAGCGGAGATTAACGCTCTGATGGCGACGATTACGGACCTGAACATTCAGAATCGCGACTCGGGAGTTAACACGGAGGAGAATGCAACCAAGTATCGGCGCATCAACGACAACATTGGTTACCTCCTGAACACCGCCAAGCGCCTTACCGAGAACATCACGCCCCTGCAGGACTTCGAGGGTAAACGTGATGCGGCACTACGCCTGTTGGTGGCAGTAACAGAGAGGCTGGAAGGATTACAGAGGTTCTTGCATGACCCGATCAACTCCCCGGTTACCAACATCCCGCAGGTTCCTCCGCCGTTGCCCGAGCAGCCCCCAACGGCAGTGGCCGCCAAGGCACCTCCCACTGCAGTCAACGCGGGGGGCGGGGCCAGCCAGCCTCTTGCCCGAGCTGCCGCGGCATCGGGTGCACCCCCGGCTCAGGGCTTTACCGGCACCACGCCCAAGACCGGAGGGTTCGGTCGATCCGTGTCGCCGAACAAGATCCCGCAGTCAACGTCACCTCAACCTGTTTACAAGAAAGCACCCAAGGCCATGCATGAGCGTAAACGGGAACTGGAAGAGTTACTGCAGCTGGGAATGAAGATGGATGAAGATCGTGCACAGGGCAGTCAACGTGACGAAGTATCAAAAGGTCCTGCCCCGGTGGTGAACGTGAGGGCGCCCAAGCCGCCTCCTCCAGGCCATGGTGAGTCAGGTGCATCGAGCAGCGTTAGCGGCATGAATCCCCCGCCTCCGGCGCCCAAGAAGTTATCGACCCAGTATGTTCCTCCACCGCAGCCTCAAGCTGTTAACCGTACGGACGAGCAGCTTGCGGCACACTCGCGGAACATTGCCAGGGGCATGTACCGCCCACTGTACCATGTCAACGGCCGCATGCCCATGGTGAACGACAGGAGCGAGGACCACGATGTCAACTACAAGGTGGAGCCCGACCCCAGGGAGGTAGTCGCGTCAACGATGAAGACGCGCGACAACTGGCGCAGGTTCGAAGGCAACTTCGTCGGACATGTGGCAAAAGAGGGGGTAACGACTCCAGGCGGTCGATCTATTCAGGGCAACACGGGGCGGGAGCTTAACGACTACGATGAGGTGTTCGTCGACATTTACGGGCAGCACGCTTACGGCTTCCTTGGTTACTCCGTGTTGAAGGGCCCAAGCAGCTGGAGATCTCAGTTGACGGAGAAGGAGCTGGAAAAGCACGACGAGTGGGTTGACGCGGTCGGGCACGTACAATCCCTGTTCGACGACGAGTACGTGCCGCCGATCCACGTTAACGATCTCCACCCAGTGTGGTTCGACGTTCACAGCTGCCCAGACACACAGGTCTACGTCAACAAGGCACCAGAAATGAACGAGAAACAGCTTAACGGCCTTCTGCTAACGTGGGCCGGGATGCTGCCCCACGGCAACCCCACCGTGGTCTCCGTTAAGCACCTGGTGGAAGACACTTACGGACCGCACGGTTACATCTCAACTGGGGTTACCGTGATCAGGTTTGCGACGCACGACCTTGCCAAGCTCTATTGCCGTTACATGAACGGGCTCCAGGTGTATTACCGCAACTACTTCATCGAGGATCTCGAAGTCAGGAGCGCCGAGGAGTTAAAGGGCAGCATCAACAAGCCTCCGGTTTACTGGCACCAGACCATCCTAGACGTCGCTCTTAACGATCAGGGGTCCATGAGGGCACTTTACCGTGACAACTGGCCCGCCGATCACATCACCGAGCGTAAAAGTGACCACCGCGAGAAGCTTTGTTGGTTTGGATGGTTGCCGTGCGACGACTTCCCCAACTGGCTTACCGACCCGGCCTGGACTGTGAACCCGTTTACCGGAGTTGCGGTCGAGGAGCACCTCCGCAACAATCCAGGTGGTAAACCTCTGCTGAAGGCTCCCCACGCCAGTTACTGGAGGGCCATCGGCACTTACCACAACATTGTTGACGGGTCCACCAAGAGTTTTGACGAGGGGTGCTGGCTGGACGACGAGGAGCGCATTAACGCGTACCTGGACACCGACTATTACAGCCCGACGCAGGCCCTTAACAGGGTGTCGTCCTATACGGCGGCCAGCGTGGGGCACCGTGGTTTACCGAAGTCCAGGGGCGCGCGTGCTCCGTCAGTGAGGCGCCCGCGCCGCTCGTAAACGGTGACAGGTGACCGGCATGCATTTCTTTTACGCTCGCTCTCATCTCCCCTCTCAACCAGGCTTAACAATAGCGTTGCAGTAGACCATTGAGCTGAATCTATTTGCATGTGCATCTTTTATAGTTACCGCAGGTATTGGCGCATAAAAAAGCGAAAGCAATCAAAACCATATAAACGCGAGCCTGCCGTGTGAACGTTGGATGCTACGTTTAAACTCGTAACTGATTG